GGGCCCAACAGCGGCCCGCTGCGCACAGCCCACGGATTCACTACCACTTCACTTGCACCTAGATGGCGGCGGAAGCAATCGGATTCGGGCTTCAGCAGGGACCCTGAAGGCCTCGCCAAGGAACTTTCAAGAGCTTAAGGCTCAACTCTCAGCGCAATGGTAGATCAGTAGATCCACATAAGCACCCTGACAAGGAACTCTACACCCTAGCTTGACTGCATAGCCGCAGTTCGCACAAAGAGGTACAGAGAAGCCCTTTCAGAGGGGAGCACCGGTTCACCGGTTGCAATCTGGGGCCCCTGGGGCCGCAGCTCCCGCTCGAGAATCTCGACGATCTGGTTTTCGTATTCTGACTCCTTGCTTGTGGGGCTTTTAAAAAGGTACTCAAAGGGTTTCGGGTTTTGAGTTTAGGGAGGGGCCCAACCGTGAGAAGTTGTCTCCAAAACTCACTGAGTCTTGAACGCTGGGAGCGGCTGCGAAGTTCAAGCTTCTATGCTACACGTGCTACACACAGCAAAGTGCGCCTGCTGGCGCAGCGCTTCTTCGAACTTCAGGCCGTCGGATTTCAAGAGGTTGCAGACCTGGCGGTGGGCTCTGGGAGAATGCGCAGCTTGGGACAGGTACGGATCCTGTGAAGGTTCGACAGGAGCAGCTGCGCACCCACCATTCACGAACAACGCTGCACCCTGGCGCCCAGCCTTGTCATACTCAGTCCTCCAATCTCGCAGCGCGTTCTCCTTGCGAGCTATAGTCAACTTCCTGCGAAAATGCACACTCGACCCCAATGCAAAGAGGATCCTCGCAATTTTGGGGGGAGGAGAACCGCACCCTAAACCCTAAACCCTAAACCCTAAACCCTAAACCCTAAACCCTAAACCCTAAACCCTAAACCCCCCCCCCTCTTGTTTTGGGAAACAGCCACGGAAGGAAACGCCTCGACCCCCGCAGCTCCTGCGCCGCCCTGAGCTCGATGAGCTGCTCTTCGTGAGCTTTTTGCATCTGCCGGGTTTAGGGTTTAGGGTTTAGGGTTTAGGGTTTAGGGTTTAGGGTTTAGGGTTTAGGGTTTAGGGTTTAGGGTTTAGGGTTTAGGGTTTAGGGTTTAGGGTTTAGGTTTAGGGTTTTGGGGGGGGGGGGGGGGCAGTGTTTCGGCTCGGGGCTCCGTTGGGAGGGTGGCGTTAACCCCACTTTGGAGTAGACCCTGGACAAAATGTATGGGTGGTTGTCAAAATTAGAGTCCCTTTTTGGAGCCCTACTATAGTACGGCACCTAATATTTAGGGCACCCTAATAGGGCTCATGATTTTGGCAACCACCCATATACCTTTTGGGTATAAGAAGCTGCTATAATAAGGAACCCGGAACCAAGAAAAGTATGAAAGTATAGTACTCCGAAACCCAGTTAAAGGGTCATCCAAGGGCAGGCATAAGCTCCTAACTCCCGAACTCCCCTACACCAGTACCCGAAACGCGGAGCTCTCAAGCCCTCATCCACCTTAGTCCCTAAACCCTAACCCTAAACCCTAAACCCTAAACCCCCTCAGTCCCTGCATCGGGAGAGCCTTGGCTTTGTCCTCCTCGAACTCGTCCCGGAGCATCTGCAGCTCCTGCAAGCCCGCATCCCAGAGCCCCGATTTCAACCCTAAACATCCCCTGAGCCTCCCTAAACCCTAAACCTTAAACCCTAAGCCTTAAACTCCAAACCCGAAACCCCAAACCCTAAAACCTAGAACCTAAACCCTTCTATCCGGCAATTAGCGGTGGGTGGTGGTAGTAGGGTGTGCTGGAGTTGTTGTTAAGACTCGGTATGCCTGTCAGGCATCCCCAAGAAACCATTGATCGCCAGGATTCAATAATATTTGGTTTAGGGTTTGGGGTTCAGGGCTTAGGGTTTAGGGTTTAGGCGGGATCTGGTTCTTCTGTCTCCCCCGCTGCATCTTACGCAATCCCCAAGGTTTCGGGTGTTAAGTAACATCAACTTAACTTGAAGCCCCGAACCCTCGACCCTAAACCCTGAACCCTAAACCCCAAACCCTCAACCCTACACCCTAAACCCTTCTGGGGGCCCTGCATCCAGCAGCTTGCTGTTCTTCTCATACTCCTTGGAGATGTTGCCTTCGAAGTGGTCCTCGCGGTGGGGCTTGCGGTTCAGATAGGGTTTAGGGGTTAGGGTTTAGGGTTTAGGATCTAGGGTTTAGGGTTTGGGGTTTAGGGTTTAGGGTTTAGGGTTTAGGGTTTAGGGTTTAGGGTTTAGGGTTTAGGGCTTCGATCCTTTCATCAGGGGTCGTAGCAGCCGGAGCTCTGAACAAAAAAATGGGGGCATCCTTGGCTTGCCCCCCAACTTCAACCCGGAGTACTACACACCAAGAAAGCCCACCGAAACCCTAAACCCTAAACCCTAAACCCTCATGTCCTGCTGCTTCTTGTGCTTATGGTCAAAGTTGCTGTTGGCATCCTGCATCTCCTCGAGAAAGACATCAAAGAAAGAGTGGGTTTGGGCCTCTGAGGGAGGGTTTAGGGTTTAGGGTTTAGGGTTTAGGGTTTAGGGTTTCGCGACCGGCCAGCAATTCATGGGACAGGCCCCCTGGCCTGTGAGTGCCGCTCAGTGGTCTGCTGCAGCTGCTTGAAGAGATCTGAAAGGCTGGGAGCTGGTGCTAGCTTAGCGTGGAGTCATGTCGAGTCCCACTTGGGCTGTTGAAGCTCTCTTGCTAACTACGGCTTCGCCCGAGACCCTAGACCATAAACACTGGACCATAAACCCCGGAGCCCGAACCCCCAAACCCCTAATCCAAAACAGGGGGATAGTTTAGACCAACCCCCAATTTTGGCAAACGCATGACCCACTCTAGGCTTAGACGGGCTTCAAAGGTCTCTTTCTGCGGTGTTCTTTGGGGTTTTAGGACTTAAGGTGTTGGGGGGGGGGGGGGCAGGCTTCAGCGTCTGGGGTTCAGACGGGCGGGTGTGTAGGGTTGGGTTTGGGTCTTCAGGGTTTAAGGGTTTATCGGCTTAGGGATTTCCCGGAACAGCCGGCATGGCTCCAGCTGGGGACTTTGTAAGGAATGCCGGGGGCCGGGCTGTCGTACTTTTCGTCGGACAGCTTCTTCTCTTCCCTGCGCCTCGCCACGTCTCACTGTGATTCAGGAGCGTGCGCTCACCATGCGCCCAGATGCCTGATCTCTGTTGTTGAATGGGTGCACCAAAACATGGTCCCGGTTGCCCGGTTGCCCGGTTGCAGGTCCCCAATTCGGCATGGCGGCTTGACACAACAGATAAACACCTCCAACTTTGTGGGGTTTGTTCTACGCTGGGCCTTATTGATGGAGAGGTTCCACGATGCCCCAAACCCAAAAGGCGATCTTAATTTCAGAAAACTCCATGGGCTCTCGGACACGCAATGCTTCGATTCACACCAAGGCCCCGGCTCCACTTGGATGGTGATCAGCTTCTCTTGCAGCTCGTTTTCCTGACTCTCATGTTCGTGGGCTCCGGACCCCTAAACCCTAAACCCTAAACCCTAAACCCCAAACCCTAAACCCTAAACCCGAAGTTTTGGTGACTTGGAGGGCTGGGATGACGTGGGGGAGTCTCCTGGTCTGGGCACTAGAAGATCTCTTCGGGAGGCCTTCTTTCGATTCAGGAGGCGGTACTTTATGTTGCCGTGCTTCATCCTACCGCAATCTATGGGTTGAACCTGGACCCTTAAGGTTGTACCTCTCGGGTCTTGGCGGCCCTTTTTCAAGATCCTTAAGGTAGTATACGGCCCATATTTAGCAGTGGCTTCAGGGAACCTCTTAGGGGTACAACCTTAGGGCGTGCGAGTCCTTCATCCCTATGTTACTAAACCCTAAACCTTAAACCCTAAACCCTAAACCCTAAACCCTAAACCCTCGAAAACGCCTAATCCAAACCCCAGCCCCTTGGCTGCACGAAATCTGCGAGGTACATAGCCCCACGAAGCTCGCGAGCTGAAGGCCTCCATGCATCCCTAAACCCTAAACCCTAAACCCTAAACCCCAAACCCCAAACCCCAAACCCTAAACCCCCCCCCCGACAAAGCCTTCTGCTCGAGGATGTGGTCGCTCTCATGCTTCAGGCCCTGCCTCAGGGTTTTGGGTTCATTTAGGGTTTAGGGTTTGGGGCTGTAGGGTGTAGGGTAGAGGGTTGAGGGCTACGGTTTTGGCAGGGGTTTTGGACGAAGACTTGCTCGGTGACTGGTGCATCCGGGGATGGGGGTCTACATGGGTGGCTGTAAAAAGTATGATCCCTTCTGGGGTACCCTAAAAATTAGGTGCCGTATTACAATAGGGATCCAAAAAGGAGCCATAATTTTGACAACCACCCACATGGAAGCTGCCCTTTTGAGCCTATAGAACTACCTCTTCCGATTCCAGTGTTCAGTTCCTCTCGACTGGTGCATCTTGCTCTACCCCCCTTCCCCTAGATGTAGCTGAAGCACAGGGCCCTGAACCCTAAACCCTAAACCCTAAACCCTCAACCCTAAACCCTATGTACTTTATTGGAAACCCCAGGCTGGCGGGAAGGAAGAGCATAGGCTGCAGGCATCCGGTCTTCGAGCTCACGGATCTCACTCAGCACGTCGGTCAAGTAAGCCTCTTGCGGCTTTTCAGTTTAGGTTTTAGGGTTTAGGGTTTAGGGTTTACGGTTTGGGTTTAGGGTTTATAGGGTTTGGGGTTCAGGGCTCCGGGTTTAGGATTTAGGTTTAGGGCCCCACCCCGGAGCAGCATCAAAAATGCTGAATCTCTTGAAAGCAGTGCGAGTGCATGTTCACTGGATTGAAGGACCTGATCGAAGGACTGGCTTGACGATGAGCATTCGCATTGAACGTAGGAAGCAGAGTCTAAGCCACATCCTTAATTGGTTTGTTTAAGATTATTTCGTCAATTCCCATTCGGCCCGAGCAGCATAAGGTTTAGGGTTTAGGGTTTAGGGTTTAGGGTTTAGGGTTTAGGGTTTAGGGTTTAGGGTTTAGGGTTTAGGGTTTAG